GGCCTGGCAGTGTCTGCGGCAGAGGCCAGAACAGCTTCATGTCTCCTGCAGTTCTGAGGCCAGAATGTAGATTTTTGGACAGTATTTTGATGCCCATCTTCAAGTGTCTAAATACCTTTAAAATCTGCCTCTAAAGACTGCAATTTAGTAGCCTATCCCACGGTTTGTTTTCTTAATTGCTCTTATTTCACAATTCACCTCCACTAAAGGTCCATTCCATACTCAGTTTTTCAGGTAACTCTCATGTCCTGGGTTTAGGGTGTTTCCTCTGTAATTCCTGAAAAGCTCCAAATTAAGCCAAGTAGGGAAGGTGGGGGATGGTCTGATTAAATGTTTTGTGGTAAAGGTAAGGAAGTGAATTTTGAACTTGATTATTGGCAGGTCAATAAAGGAGAAAAGTGACCCTTGACTATTTTCAAGTGAATATGTAAATTGTAGGAATGTGAGGGTTTTATTCAGTGGGGCTGGAGCAGCTCCCCACTTGCCATGGGCAAGAGGCTGCACCAGCCCTGTGGAGGGGTGAGAGAGGGAGGGAAGGCAGAGCGGAGAGGGGGAGAGGAACTGCTCCAGCCCAGTTGGAGCAGCCTCCACAGGTGCTCTCCTTTATTCAGTTAACCCACTAAACAATATATTTAACTTGTTAGCCACTTAAACAGGATTGGGCATCCCTAGTAAATTGCATGCCTGACTTGATAAGTGAAACTTAATTTTAAAAAATTTGTCTCCTTACATAATGTAAATGAGATTCCATGGTGACTAACACTCAGCAAATGGAACTCTACGAGTAACTTTAAAGCTATAGTTACCCAACTTGGATTTTCCCTGCAGTTCTGGAATTTTGCGCTGCTGCTGCTGCTGCAAAAAAAAAAATGCCATAGTTTCTTCCATTTCACCTTGTCTGAATGATGTTACAAGGCACTGGGCTGCTAAAGCTACCAACAACATGCTGGAACTCTGGTTCAGAAGTAACTTGGTCACCAATATCCTTCCCTGCAGCATCTGGAATCTCTTGAAGCTCTCCTATACAAATGCTAGATTACAGCACAAGAACAGCTTGAAGTACCATGTGAGAGAAGTAACCTGAAGTGGCCAAAAAGGATTCTGTGCAGCTAGAAAAAGTTCAGCTGTGAAGGGGGTTCAAATTATGCTTTCTGCCAGTGTTACCCATTTGGAGTGTAAACATCTTAGTCTTGTGTGGCTCCAATAAGTGGTCTTGTATTTTCCATTTCCTTGTGCCTTCCCTTGACTTTGGAATTGAGTGTAACAGTAACTGGAGGCCATAGAAAACAGTTGATTCCTTCTCCTGGTATCAGTAAAGTGTCTGGAAGCCCTAACTTGTGCCATTTCTGGCCCTCCCCTCCAGATAGGGTAATTGTAGGGAACCTTGTCTTGCAGTCCTGTTACCTCCGTGATGAAAGGGTGCTGCCAAGGGGTTCATTTGGCCTGAATACCTTTTCATACCGGTGATGTTGAAGTCAAGGTTGAGTTTCCAAAACTGACAATTTTAAACAAAACTTTTTTTTCATTTTGTAAACGGAGTGGACTTGATCTATAGTGACTGAGAGATCATATGAGCATAAGCTTTCATGGGCAAAGACCCACTTCCACTACATGCATCTGACAAAGTGGGTCTTTGCCCACGAAAGCTTATGCGCCAATAAAACTATTAGTCTATAAGGTGCCACAGGACTTCTCATTGTTCTTGCAGATTCAGACTAACACTGCTACCCCTCTGATACTTGAGAGATCATAAACATGGAGTCGGCATGGATAAGAGTATGTAATTTTTAGAATAGTGTTGTAAATCTTGGATTGACATTGAGGTGTGTGGTGTGTTTTTTTTTGAGAGCGAAGGTTATGTAAGTCTGGGCATTAAATTGGCTCCTCCCGCCCACCACTGGCAGTGTTTCCTATATTGTTTGCTGCTAGAAACTCTGTATTGTATTCTTGCACCTGAATCCATGCTGTTCTTCTAGTATGTTACATGAATGCCATTGATGGGTTTTCTTTTCTCTGGTCTCAGTGGATCTGTTTCTTTTCTCTGTTTCAAGTATTAGTGAGACAAGGTGGGTGAGAGATGTATATGAATCGCCTGTCCTCATTCATGCTCCTAAAGTTTTACTGTGGCGTAATTGTTACGTGTGCAGCTTGAAGAGGATAGGTTTATGGTTGCTAATGCAATCTGTCCTAACCTCAGTCTCAAAACCATTCTCTTGTTTTCACATAGGAGTTTTCCCCAAGTACTGCTTTCAGGTTAGTGCGCACATTATGAATCTTTCCATCTTTTCTCTCTTTTAGTGTGTGTTACATTCCTGGGAAGATTCTACCAAAGTCTAAAGGACAAGGATGTTGAGTTCACACCAGCTAATGTTGAAAAAGAACTCTTGAAATCCTGCAAAGAAGCAAAAGGCAAAGAGAACCGACTGGTGAGTACAGGATGAACTTCCCTGGTCTGGTACCCTCAGGACCTAACTGGTCCTGAACAAGGGAATTTGCCAGATGGGGGAAGTCAGTGTGCCCAAGACTCTGCTTTTCCTTCTGGCTGCCCCACTACTGCCCAGGGGTTTCTGCTCTCCCCCTGGCAGAAGGGAGCTCTGCTTTTCCCCCAATGGCTTTGCTACCCTCTGGGGCTCCGTGCTCTCCCCTCACCCTTCTCCCCAGGCTTCATGCTCTTCCCACAGCATCTCTGCTGCCACCTGAGGGACTCCCACTGCTGCCGGGGGCTTGTACAGCTACTCCGCTGACTGCTGCTCTAGCCCTGGTGACCAGGGGTTCTGTGCTTCTCCCAGCAGGTCTCTTGGCTCCCTAGTCTGGCAGCACTCCTGGCCTCAGCTCAACAGCTTATCCCCTTGAGTATTCTCACAGGGTCACCTCTACATTGTCGGGACAGGGGTGTTGCCGGACAAGGGAAGTCGGATTATGCAGTTTCAAACTATAATAATCTATCACCATCTCTTTTGCAAAATAATCCTTAAGATACCTGGTAGTGTGTAGAAACTGGGAAAGTCTCTCGCTTGGTTGTGTGTACAGTGTAGGCCTACACAGGAAATATAGTAGTAGAAGTGTAGAAGTGTGTAGAAACTGGGAAAGTCTCTTGCTTGGTTGTGTGTACAGTGTAGGCCTACACAGGAAAGATTTGAGGAGGGATGCAGTCCCTCCCCACCATACCAAAAAAAACCCAGTTTTCCGTTGGTTGACCTAATTTCTCCCTGTAACTGAAGGGCAGTGAGCTTTTTTTTATGAAATTTTAATTTTCTACAGCACCCCTTGAGCATTACGTGATGCATCTAGATTCTGTACAAACTATGTTTAAATATGTATGCTTATCAACCCTTGAACAGGGAAATGGGCAGAGGAAAGTGCTAATTGAAAGCAGTCCAGAATGGTTTCAAAATGGAATGTCCCAAGTAGAAAGGCCCACTGATCTCTGAAGAGAACTATCGCTGACTTTGTCAGGCATCCTTAGGGACATACTTAAGACAAGCTGTTCTTGAACTGAGAAAACTGCCTTCAGCTCAGTTCAGATGAAACATAACCGGGCAGGGGAGGGAGGAAATAGGACCACCATCCTCAACATAATGTGAAGTCCACTTTTCTCATAGTAGTACTGGGACTTGTGCAGAAATATTCTCTACCAACAAATGCTGCAACCTCATCTGTTCAAAATGTGCTTGAGAAAAGGCCAGATAAGCCATTTCTTCGCAGCGTGTTCTCTCTGCTCCTTATGGTGCTGAGGTGTTCCAGGCTGTAGAGTGAACATGGGGTTGCTATTCCTATTCCCCACCCCCCCTTTCACTTAGCTCGCTCTAGAAATCCAAACCAAAGCAGCAGGGTTCAGAGTCTTTACCAGTAGTATTGTCTACTCCAAGGATAAGTGGCGAGGAGTCCTGTGGCACCTTATAGACAAACTGAAGTGTTGGAGCATAAGCTTTCATGGGTAAAGACCCACTTTGTCAGATGCATGTAGTGGAAATTTCCAGAGGCAGGTATAAATATGCAGGCCAGAATCAGGCTGGAGATGATACCTCCACTGGATAAAACACTCTCGGGTAGAAGCATGGCAAGACTGAGAGATTTGTAAAGCAGAAAACTCAGGGTGTTTGGGAGGGAGGGAGGAGGCAACCAAAAAAATCAGCTGAATCCTTCTGAAGCATCCTTTTCCCTCAGTATCACTAGACACCTCATTCTTTTCTTCCACTGTAGTGCTATTATCTTGGGGCCACCAGTGATGCAGCCACCAAAATGGTTAATGAGGTATCAAAACCTCTGAGTCACCACATCCCTGTGGAGAAGATCTGTGAGAAACTGAAGAAGAAAGACAGCCAGATCTGTGAGCTAAAATATGGTGAGTTTGGGCAGACATTAGCTAAGTGGTTAAATAGTTGGGCTTTTCTACAGTATGGTTCTTTGTTCTGATAAGTAACGAACTTGCACCCTGTCCCTTAATATTGCAGAGCTGAAGTGGAGGGGGGAAGGTGATGAGCAAGTAGCCAATAGTGATAGTTGACTACTTGCTTACATCCAACTCGGAGTTCTTCAACAGACATCGGTTTATCTAGGCTGCACCATTGTTTATGCCTGGGATTAGGTAAAATCCTAGACTCTCAGTGAGTCCCCTAGCTGCCTAGGTCCATCATGAAGGCACCACTGATGTTCACAAAACCACTGCTTGGCTGCTGCCTAAGTCCTGATACTGTCCCACAGCTAACAAGTTGCATGGAGCCCTGCCAGGATTTTCAAATAAGCTGGCTCCCACCTGTCTTGCCTAAAGAGCCCAATCCAGCAGGTGTGCTCAGAGCACATTTTTCATTTTGCTCTTGGCTGTCTTGGGCAGCTTCCTGGTTAGCTTGTTGGCTTCTAAGAGTCCCTTTCTTGTGTGTCTCTCCTCATACAATGTGTGGGGGCCATGAATGCCATTGAGCAGTGCAGCACTGCAGTAGTGAGCATAGCAAAGGCCTAAGTCCCCTTTGTGCCTTTAGCCCTTGGCCTCTAGTTGGGAGACTCTTATTTGGAGTGTAGAATAGTACATAGGAAAGATTTTTGTGGGGAACAACCCAGCCTCATTACAGATTAACTAGGCCTAAGGCTATTGGCTGCAGTTGTTAAATGCATTTATTCAGGTAACCGTGAAACCGCATACAGAGGCAGTGGGCCAGGTGGGACCATGTAACTGTGCACATTAACTGATGAGCCTCACTGGTTAACCCAGTACACATGTACATGTTCACCCTCCCTAGTGTTGACTACAAGCTTCTTGTTACCAAATCCTATCTAAAGATATTTACAAGAGACTAATTTTCATTTTGAATGGTCCCTCTTGATTCCCTAAAAGTCTGCCTTCCAGTTCTGCTCCAACAAAACTGCTCAAAATATTCTTTCCTCTTCTGCTGCTCTCACTGGGGATGTAAAATCCTGGTTAACCAGTTAAAGGTTAGGTCAACCTAACCTTTAACCGGTTTAACGACTAAACTGGAATCCGGGCTGGGGACTGCTTCAGTCCAGCTGGAGCAGCTCCTGGCCCCAGCCCCACACTGAGGCTGGGTCTGTCACCAGGTCCTAGCTTCCACCTTCTGCTAGAGCAGCCCCTTTCTGTGGGGCGCCTGGACTCCCCATAGACAGAGGGGCTACGTCTACACTGGCATAATTTTCTGGAAATGCTTTTAACGGAAAAGTTTTCCGTTAAAAGCATTTTTGGAAAAGAGCATCCGGATTGGCAGGACGCTTTTCCGCAAAAGCACTTTTTGCGGAAAAGAGTCTGTGGCCAATCTAGATGCGCTTTTCTGCAAAAAAGCCCCGACATTTTTGCCATCGGGGCTTTTTTGTGGGAAAGAGATCTCTGCTGTCTACACTGGCCCTTTTGCGCAAAAGTCTTTCGGAAAAAGACTTTTGCTCGAACAGGAGCAGCATAGTATTTCCGCCAAAAGCACTGACAATCTTGCATGAGATCGTCAATGCTTTTGCGGAAATTCAAGTGGCCAATGTAGACAGCTGGCAAGCTTTTCCCCAAAAGCAGATGATTTTGCAGAAAAACTTGTCTGTCTAGACACAGCCAGGCTGTTCCAGATGAGAGCAGTCCCTGCCCACAGCAGGCCCCTTGTGGAACTGAGGCAGGGTCCTGCCTGCAGCAGGTGGGGCGCTGTTCCAGCACCCACCAATTACCTGGAACTGATACGCAACAACCCTACCTAGCGCTGACTAAATCAGTATAACGTGCCAGCCTCTTCACTGATTCCATATGTCCTAATGTGTAAAATTGTCTTCAGTTTCGTGTCATCTTGTTGCCCTGCCTCATTGCAAAATAACACCCCTGGTATGTTTGTTTAAATCTTATTTCCCTTTTCCTCTCCCCTTCCTTTCTGTTTTTATATTCCATTCATTGTAATGTAGATTGTATCAGTGAGGCAGTGCCTTGTTTTTAATGTCCTCAAGAATAGGCCTTCTCCACTGAAGGGGACAAAACTCAAACACACTTTACTGTCCTGTCCACTTCATTAATGTGTTATCTAGTTAATCTTGACAGCCAGTATTAGGCTTGTTTTTACTCATTTTGAATAACCAATGTTCCCCCCTCACTCTTCAGACAAGCAGATTGACCTGAGCACTGTGGACCTGAAGAAACTGAGAGTGAAGGAGCTGAAGAAGATCCTGGATGACTGGGGGGAAACGTGCAAGGGCTGTGCAGAGAAGTCAGACTATATTCGCAAAATCAATGAACTGATGCCTAAGTACGCACCGAAGGCCGCCAGCTCCCGGACGGATCTCTGACCCCCCCC